ATACAATAGTTAAATAGATACTTTAAAAACAGATATTCATAGAATTCGAAGAATACCAAATGCATATATTTACCCTTCGTCGTTCGTAATGCGTGCAGCAAACAAGTAGAATATTTTGCAAGCATGTATCTTTCAGTCCAATTACGACGTAGATGTCTTAAAGGCAAACGTAAGTAGTAAGTAAGTAGTAGTACGGCGGTAAGTAGCGGTAAAATTTTATCGCTTATTCACCTCTAAGCGCTTTTCTATCAATGGTGGCTAAATGATTCCACCCGTTGGTAAGTGGTTACTATGACCGATAGACTCTCATAGACTATCTTCGATTTGGAATTGAAAATGCAAGTACGTTGTCATTTTTAAAGAACTAAAATAGAATACCTAGGACTAGGAAATAAGATCTACGGTTCTCGTTACCATCGTTACGTAAGGTACGTTAGGATTGTTTTATTGGTCAAAATAACCTACTTATGCTGCATCCACCACACAGATCTAGCGTAGCTCTACCATGTAAGATGAATTCAACCACTGGCTTATAATAAAATAAAAACTTCACAGGGTCTTTTAGATGCTATTCAGAATCACAATAAGTCTAAGAAAACGGTTTTTATTTAATTACTTCAATTTTTTGACAATTTTGTACATAACATGTGTATATTATATTATATACTCTTTAAATTAATTTCAGGATATATACAGAAGAAAGAACCAAAAAAATTTAAAGACGTACATTCTTACCTGCGTTACGTTTACCTACACCCCTTATGTGAAGTTGTCTCAAGATTAGAGAAGTACGTCCTTATAAAAGATTTTTCCCTTTGACGTACAGAAACTAGAAACTTAAAGTCTAAAAGAATATAGATGCGTAATAACTATTTACTGTATTTATTTAATTCAAATATATACTTACTTTCTATAGTCCGGCAATATTCAATTCTGTAACATTATTAATTAAAAAAGATATCGTTTCTTTTTCTAACCGGCCCTTTTAGTCTATTGTAAGAATGTTTGTCACAATAGCCTCGCTTGGCAGACAAAGTTGAAGCACCACACTGCAGTTTATTATAGTACATACTAAAGAACATATGGGTCGACACAGCCGAGGAAAGGACTATGCCAGTACAGAATACCAGCGATAGTGACAGCGAATGCATCGCTGTCGCTTGTACAGAATATGGTGAGTAACGAGTACCGGATACCCGTTTTACTAATAAAGACCATTTTCGTGACAAGTATTACTTTCATATTAATTTGATAAAAGGTTAAAAAGAGACACTTCAAGAATGATTGTAAAATCTTAATATATATAAATTACTTGTCACGTTGTTTGTCCGCGATGGAATCCTAAACTACTTAACCAATTTTAATCAAATTTGCACATCGTATGCACTTTGGTCCAACTTGAGAGATAGGATAATTTTTTGCCCATGAGTGACCCACAATTTTTTTTGCTGATTTAAGGATTTTTAATAGGACATGACAAAGGGTCGTCGAAAAGGTCAGAACAACGTCTGCCTGTGAAGCTAGTATTATATATTTTACAATCAACCATTCAGCAAATATAAACATCTATATCTATATTTATATACTTAGATATTTCTCATCTTGACGCTGCTTCTCGTCGTCGGTACGGCTATTTTACACCTGGTTAGTAAAAGATAATCATAATCCAGTTCTGTATTTCGGTAGGTTGAGGTAACAGAGCGAATATTATTGCAGGCTACAAGGCACTTCACGACTATAAGTCACTAATTGGTGGGACTTCTTGCATGCATATAAGTCTATTTGGATAGGTTCCACTACACCCTTACCTATTTGTGTTGCCAACCAGCAGTGCGTGTACTGCTATGTTCTAGTTTGAACAACATAGAGAGCCGGCAAGGCTTTGTTTAAAGTTAGCTGCAGACTTATTGGCTTGCCATCAGATGGTCTGTGATGTGTGGTAGTTATAGAGGGTGTTCAAAACTATTGTCATCATTTTGTGAGTGTAAGCGAGAAGAATCGCAGTGTTGCGGTGATGACCATTACTGTGCACTGGTCAATTATTATGGTTGTGCGCATTGTCGACATAGAATAAGACAGTGAATTAGTCTGAATCTTTTGCTAAATAGACGGTGACAGTATCTCCCACAGAGTGGTTTATAACCTTAATTTGTTACTGAAAAATCATTTTTTATCTCAAAATAATTTTTTTTCAAATTCAAATTCAAATTCAAATTGTTTATTGCATGTCACATTACAAATTTAAGATGGTACAATTTTGATCGGTATACATGTGACGCCCCGCAAGGGCATAGCAACACTAGAGGGCTAACTATTTTCGTATTATCTAATTTTTAAACATAAATTACAAATTATCATATCATCAACATTCAATATTATTTTATATAAATTAATTTAATTTGAAACACAATGAATAGTCTAAGTATTCTTACTTTATCGTTATTTATCGTCAAAAAATTCATTTAAATTATAGGAACATTTATTAATAAGAAATATTTTTAATTGTTTATTAAATTGCACAGGATTTTCCAGGATTTTTATGGAATTTGGTAAACGGTTATAAATCTTTATTGACATAACGTGAGGGCTGTTTGAAACTAATTTTAATTTGGAGATCTTAAGCTTATATAAATTTATATTATTTCTTTTAGTCTTTTTAATAGGTGAGTAGAGTTTTGGGTGCTTCCTAACAAATTTACAAGATTCGAGGATGTAGATAGATGTAAGTGTCAAAATCTTATTTTTAATGAAGAATTTTAAGAGTATTTGTTGTTATATTGTTTTATTTCTTTTAGGTAATTGGAAAAAATCAATGTATCATATTTATCAAAAATCTAATTCGGTTATGAAATAATAAAAAATGATAACACAGCTACCAAGTTTGTATAACAAAATATTTATACAAACATTTTAAATAAGAATAGTATCTATCTGTAGTAGCCTATAAATGACCACTACTCAACATAGGCCTCCTCCATATTTTGCCTCATATAAGATTTTGTCATAGTTTCCACGCTTTCTGAGCGCGTTGACAGTCGGAGTTTTTTATTTTTATTCAACTGCTATCAGGAAGATGCTGCTGCCCATATTATAATAATAATAATAATAATAATAAGCTGGGGACGGATAAGTGTGCGGTCCTCCATGTTGAGAGGGGAAGGGTTGCTAACTCTGAGGGCATAGACTTATCTATGCCCGTCAACTTAAGGACCCTTTCCGAGGCTGAAACATACCGATACCTGGGTATGTCACAGAACATCGGTATCGATGAGGCTGGTGTGAAACAGTCAGTTTGCGACGTGTTTTACGCACGCTTGACCAAAGTGCTTAATAGCCTTTTGTCCGGTGTGAATAAGACACACGCATATAACGGTTGGGTCATGCCTGTCCTTATGTATACCTTTGGCATACTCAGGTGGACTCAGACCGAACTTAACGCCCTGGATAGAAAAGTCCACACTACCATGACGTCCCATAGGATGCATCATCCGAGATCATCGGTAATGAGGCTGTACTTGCCGCGAAAGCATGGTGGGCGTGGCTTTCTGAGCGCGCTCACTATGCATAATCGTGAAGTATGCAGCCTCCGTCATTACTTCCTGGCGAGATCGGATGATCCATTCTATAATGACGTCCTTTCTAGTGATAAAGGGCTTACCCCTCTATCCTTGGCCAACGAGCAATGGCAGGAGCCAGCAGTGCTTAGCATTTCCGACCGGGAGACCGTATGGAAGGAGAAGGAGCTCCACGGGAGGTACTACAGGGCTCTACATGAGCCCTTCGTAGATACAGTCGCCTCCCTCAACTGGCTACGTTTCGGTGACCTCTTCGGGGGAAACCGAGGGTTTTGTCTGTGCAATACAGGATCAGGTTATTAAGACCAACAACTATCCAAGATACATCCTAAAGGATGGCACCGTCGACGTCTGTCGAGCTTGTCGCCATGCCGGGGGAGTCACTTAGACATGTCATCTCCGGTTGTTCGGCACTTTCTAACTCTGAGTACTTGCACAGGCACAACCTAGTAGCCAGAATTCTACACCAGGAGCTCGCTCTGAAATACGGCCTCGTGGACCGGAAATTGCCGTATTACAAGTACTTGCCGGAAGCCGTGCTCGAAAATGACCACGCCAGGTTCTACTGGGACCGGGCCATCATCACAGACAGGACTATTCTTGCAAATAAGCCTGATATTGTGCTGATGGACCGGGCACAGTCAAGGATATTTTTGGTCGACATTACCATTCCGTATGACGAGAACCTCGTGAAAGCCGAAACAGATAAGCGAACAAAATATCTGGACCTGGCTCACGAGGTGACCGACATGTGGGGTGGTTGGCCGACCGAAATTATTCCTGTAGTCGTCTCTGCGAATGGGCTAATCCCAGTCTGCCTCTCGGGTCGTCTGAGGCGACTGGGACTCCGTGACGGACCGCTCCGGGCTCAAATGCAGAAGGCAGTGGTCCTCGATACCGCCCGCATCGTCCGTCGGTTTCTTACCCTTTCCCCCTAACCCTCGGCCGTTTGGTCTCCCCTGCCGAGGGCTTCCATCTGGTTGTATCTTTATTTATTTGTGTATTTTTTTGTATTTATTTTATTTTATTGATATTTATGTATCTTTTATTGTTATATCTTTTCATTTTAATTTATAATTATATATTTATAGAAACCAACCAGATGAGAAAACTATACAGATACCCCAAAAATAATAATAATAATACATCCCAACCAGATGAGAAAACTATATAGATACCCCACACATAATAATAATAAGAAGAAGAAGAAGAAGGCGTAGGGAAGTGACGACCCCATCGCCCGCTGACGTAACAGTTATGTGACAAAACTGCGACGTCGGCGCAGTCAGTCAGCATCCTGCAGAGGTGTGAGCGCCGTGCCTAGGCAAAATTGTAGATGCAAAGGTCCGTTTGTGCATATGACCCAACCACGAAACGGTGCCGGGCTTGGGCGTCTCCCGTTATTTGGCGCCCATAAAATGGATGATGGAAGAAACACAGAAAGGAACGCGCATAGGGCCGCTGCCTGGGGGTCGCAGGGGCGCGTCTGGAGCTGGCGCTGGACGCGGCAGCATGCGGGCCGCCAGACGAGTGCGAGGAGCTGCACGATCACCTAGCATCCCCTCGCTTCCATCATCCCCACCAGAAGGCTTGGTGTCGGCTGGGTCTTCTCGGACCCAGCAAGCGGCACCCGCCGCTGGTGGAGCACGTCGCATGCGTTGGACAAAATCCATGAACGAAAACGCATTGCGGGCGTACTATAGGGCGAAAGGGGAAGAAACTGTGGGAATAGCGTATAGATCTCAGATGCATTGCTTTTTTGCTGAGCTGGAGCCGTCTATCCCCGTCACGGAACAAAACCTGGCAGAACCTTCGGCACATCATGCGCTCGAAAATATTTGATGATGCCGAACTCGAACGACTACGACGTGAGGCTATTCCGTCGTCGAATGTATCGGCTATGGCTGGAGATGCAGCTCCACATTCGACAGACCAGCATCCACACGTGGAAGCCGCCATGGATCTTCCAGTTGTGGTTGATTCGAACGACGATGAAATAGTCTCCCACGAACTAGAGCAAATGAGGAGTATATTGGAAGAGGCGATTTTGGAAACTCGCAGCACACCTCTCGAAAATCGACAGCGACTTCCCCCGCACACCCCTAAGCAAGCGAAATCTTCATCAGTTCGGGGCCCTACGGACCGCCTCAGCCACGTCTTCTGGCGTTATAGTGATGGGGTCCATAGGCGTAACACTCGCATCCTGGCTCGCCACAACTTCCATCCAAGGGCCCTCGCTGTGGTTTACGGGCTCTGACCACAGGCCACGCCAGAATGCGATAATGTCAGCCTGGTCAGGTCCTTGGCCCGCTCCACATACCTTTGGTTGCTCCAATGATTTATAGAGCCTCTTGTGATCACTCTGGAAGAGACGATTCTGGTTGAACCGCCTTGACCTCTCGGAAAATCGTCGAATCCGCTTCCCCCAAGCAGCGATCTTTTGCTTCAGGTCGTCTATGCGCTCCGTTAGTTTCTGCGTGATATCCGGCTGGGACAAACTGATATTTGTCCCAGCAAACGCCATCCTAACGGTGCGCATAATCCTCGGTCTATTATTACCCGACCTGAAGCTTGTCAGTCTGCCGATAAGGGCCCTTGCCTTTGCGATACGGTCCTCGATTCTTTTTCTCCAGGCTGGGATGGCGCTACTTTGTGTAGTAGCGCGTCCAGCCATGGGAACTTTGGCGCCAATAATACGGCAAACTGCCACTGCGGCGCCAAAGAGAATCGAGTTCGTCTCGCAAAGGTCCCGGCTGGCTTCCAAATAGGTCACCAGCATTGGGTTAAGAGCCCTCACGACAGCCCGATTCCGTTTGCTTAGGGCTATGCGGGGGAAGTGTCGGTCGATTTTCGAGAGGCGTACTGTGCGTTTCCACAATCGCCTCTTCCAATGTACTCCTCATATGCTCTAATTCCAGTTCCTGGGCGACTGTTCCATCATCGTTTGAATCAACCACAACTGGGGTATTCACGGCGGCGTCCACGTTTGTGGGTTGCTCTACAATTTGTGGCGCCGAATTTTCATTATTATTATTATTATTATTGGGGTATCTATATAATTTTCTCACCTGGTTGGGTTATTATTATTATTATGTGTGGGGTATCTATATAGTTTTCTCATCTGTTGGGATGTATAAATATATAATTATAAACGAAAATGAAAAGATAAATATACATAAATATCAATAAAATAAAATAAATACGAAAATACATAAATAAATAAAAGCCCAACCAGATGGAAGCCCTCGGCAGTCTTCCCTGCCGAGGGCTTCCATCAAGGGCTGCCGTCAAGATGGCGTTTGCTGGGACAAATATCAGTTTGTCCCAGCCGGATATAACGCAAAAGCTGACAGAGCGCATAGATGATCTGAAGCATAGAATCGCTGCTTGGGGAAAGCGGATTCGGCGATATACCGAGAGGTCGACACGGTTCAACCAGAATCATCTCTTCCAGAGTGATCAGAAGAGGCTCTATGAATCTTTGGAGCGACCAATGGTAAGTGGAACGGGTCCAGCAACGAATCAGGCTGACACCAGCAACCAGTCGCCCAGGAACTGGAACTAGAGCATATGAGGAGTACATTGGAAGAGGCAATTGTGGAAACGCACAGTACGCCTCTCGAAAATCGACCGACACTTCCCCGCATAGCCCTAAGCAAACGGAATCGGGCTGCCGTGAGGGCTCTTAACCCAATGCTGGTGACCTATTTGGAAGCCAGCCTGGACCTTTGCGAGACGGACTCGATTCTCTTTGGCGCCGCAGTGGCAGTTTGCCGTATTATTGGCGCCAAAGTTCCCATGGCTGGACGCGCTACTACACAAAGTAGCGCCATCCCAACCTGGAGAAAAAGAATCGAGGACCGTATCGCAAAGGCAAGGGCCCTTATCGGCAGACTGACAAGCTTCAGGTCGGGTAATAATAGACCGAGGATTATGCGCACCGTTAGGATGGCGTTTGCTGGGACAAATATCAGTTTGTCCCAGCCGGATATCACGCAGAAACTAACGGAGCGCATAGACGACCTGAAGCAAAAGATCGCTGCTTGGGGTAAGCGGATTCGACGATTTTCCGAGAGGTCAAGGCGGTTCAACCAGAATCGTCTCTTCCAGAGTGATCAGAAGAGGCTCTATGAATCTTTGGAGCGACCAAAGGTATGTGGAACGGGCCAAGGACCGGATCAGGCTGACACTTTATCGCATTCTGGCGCGGCCTGTGGTCAGAGCCCGTAAACCACAGCGAGAGCCCTTGGACAGAAGTTGTGGCGAGTCAGTGTGTGAGTATAACACCCATGGACCCCGTAATTATAACACCGGATGACGTAGCTGAGGCGGTCCATAGGGCCCCGAACTGGAAACTAGTCCGGGACTCGACGGGCTGCATCACTACTGGCTGAAGGGGTTCGCGGTGTGTCACACTGTGCTAGCCCGACAGTTTCAAAAAGCTCTCAATCAGAAGTCGCTCCCGATACTCTTCACTACTGGGATCACCCATTTGGTTCCTAAAGACCAGAGTACCACAGACCCGAGCAAATACCGCCCCATCACGTGTCTACCGACCATATACAAGACTCTAACATCCATTTTAAGCGCGAGAAGCACTCGTGACCTGGACTCAAATCAGGTGATGTCGCGCACTCAAAATGGATGTCGGGGCGGTGGTCGTGGAACCAAGGAACCAATCCTCATTGAAGCGGTCATTGGCAAAGTGGTGAAACGCAACCGTAGGAACTTCTCCGCCGCCTGGATAGACTACAGAAAGGCATTCGACTCGGTACCCCATACATGGCTAAAGAGAGTCCTCGAGCTGTACAAGATAGACTGTACAGTTAGAGACTTCCTCGAGCAGTGTATGAGGGCGAGCGAATGATGACTGCGGAGAACCACATAAGGATAAGAAGGGGTATCTTCCAAGGCGATTGTCTGAGTCCAATCTGGTTCTGCCTCTCTCTGAACCCTCTCAGTACCTTACTGGAGGGCTCCGGGAGGGGATTTCAGCTACGGAAAGGAGGGACAAAAGTGACCTACCTTTTCTATATGGATGACCTCAAGTTATTCCCCTCCAGTCGATCCCATCTTATAGAATTGCTAAACATCACTTGTGAATTTAGCAATTCCATTGGAATGGAGCTGGGGAGGGTGTGCGGTCTCCACGTTGAAAGAGGAAGGGTTGATAACTCTGAGGGCATAGACTTATCTATGCCCGTCAACTTAAGGACCCTTTCCGAGGCTGAAACATACCGATACCTGGATATGTCACAGAACATCGGAATCGATGAAGCTGATATGAAACAGTCAGTTTGCGACATGTTTTATGCACGCTTGACCAAAGTGCTTAACAGCCTTTTCTTCGGTGTGAATAAGGCACATGCATATAACGGCTGGGTCATGCCTGTCCTCATGTATACCTTTGGTATACTGAGGTGGACTCAGACTGAACTTAACGCCCTAGATAGAAAAGTCCGCACTACCATGACGTCTCATAGGATGCATGATCCGAGATCGTCGGTAATGAGGCTGTACTTGCCGCGAAAGCATGGTGGGTGTGGCTTCCTGAGCGCGTTCACAATGCATAATCGTGAAGTGTGCAGCCTCCGTGATTACTTCCGGGCGAGATCGGATGATCCATTCTATAAGTTCGTCATTTCTTGTGATAAAGGACTTACTACTATCTATTTACTCTAACTATCCTTAGCCAACGAGCAATGGCAAGACCCGGCAGTGCAGAGCATTTCCGACCGGGAGACCGTATGGAAGGAGAAGGAGCTCCACGGGAGGTTCTACATGAGCCTTTCGTAGACACAGTAGCCTCCCTCCACTGGCTACGCTTTGGTGACCTCTTCGGGGAAACCGAGGGTTTTGTCTGTGCAATACAAGATCAGGTTATTAAGACCAACAACTATCGGAGATACATCCTAAAGGATGGCACCGTCGACATCTGTCGAGCTTGTCGCCATCCCGGTGAGTCACTTAGGCATGTCATCTCCGGTTGTTCGGCGCTTTCTAACTCTAAGTACTTGCACAGACACAAACTAGTAGCCAGAATTCTTCCCCAGGAGCTTGCTCTGAAATACGGTCTCTTGGATCGGAAATTGCCGTATTACAAGTACTTGCCGGAAGCCGTGCTCGAAAATGATCGCGCCAGGCTCTATTGGGACCGGGCCATCATCACAGACAGGACTATTCTTGCGAATAAGCCTGATATTGTGCTGATGGACCGGGCACATTCAAGGATATTTTTGGTCGACATTACCATTCCGTATGACGAGAACCTCGTGAAAGCCGAAACAGATAAACGAACAAAATATCTGGACCTGGCTCACGAGGTGACCAAAATGTGGGGTGATCTGCCGACCGAAATTATTCCTGTAGTCGTGTCTGCAAACGGGCTAATCCCAGTCAGCCTCTGGGGTCATCTGAGGCGGCTGGGACTGCGTGACGGACCGCTCCAGGCTCAAATGCAGAAGGCGGTGCTCCTCGATACCGCCCGCGTTGTCCGCCGGTTTCTTTCCCTTTCCCCCTAACCCTCGGCCATTTGGTCTCCCCTGCCGAGGGCATCTATCTGGTTGGCCTTTTATTTATTTATGTATTAATATATTTATTTAATTTTACTGATATTTATGTATATTTATCTTTTCATTTCCATTTATAATTATATATTTATAGAACCCAACCAGATGCGAAAACTATATTGATATCCCCCAATAATAATAAAACATTTATTCATTACCAATAATAAGATTACAGTAAGCAGTACACACAGAAATAACCATAATTACATAGTGTAGTAATGAATAGGCTCTAGCTCAGCATAAATGTTGCAGTTGCCCACAACACTGTTATTCTGCCAGCGCCCAACAAATGAAGAGTACAGTAAGTACGCGCTCATCCCTGCTTATATTACATTTAATCACAACTGTTAATATTAGAGTAGATCTCGTGGTTTCCCAAGTATTAGCGAATATTAGCCAGTTCAAATTAGTAATTAAGAAATATTTTTAATTATCATAAATTTTTTCCATAAAATTTATATTTTTAATAATTATTACAACAATACAACTAACAGTAACAACAAAGTATTAAATAATATTTATTTTACTGAGCCTAACTTATTTGAGCTTATAAGTCTACTACCGCCTACTGACAATGTTTATTTATTTTATTTAAAAAACGGCCCTGTAATTTAGTAAAAATAATTCGATTATGACAGTAATTGTTCGCTTAGTAAGTGACGTCTATAATTCTTTTTAAAACTGGTTTTACTTGTCATTGTGCGTAGTGGTGGTGGGAGATCATTCCAACACTTAGTTGCGATAAACTTAAAACTACCCCGGAAAGCCGATGTTATGTGTTTATGGACGCATTAAACTTTAGAGCATAGTCGAATTTTATATAAATGTTAGTCATTTCTCCAGTTAAGTTTTTTGTATAAATATTCTGGGTTCTTTGTATTTATTACGCCGAATAGCAAGGAAGCATAATAAAGTTTGAGACGCCCCTGCTTTTTTAACATATTCTAAGCATTAAGATTGACGTGACATGAGATCATCTCGGTATGTAAAAACAATAGCGTGCACAAGCATTCTGTACCCTCTGGATTAATTTTTGAGATTTCTTAAGAGAAAAAGGTCCGTAAACAGTTATACAATAATTTAATTTAGCTAAAACTAGAGTTTCACAAAGTTTGACACATAAATAAAATATAATGAATTGTCTAAATTTATATAGAACTTTTAACCTGTAAAATCAGTTTTGTACCAAATTGGTTACATGGTTTTCAAATCTCAAATTGCTGTCAAAAATAATGCCTAAATTTCGTGCTTCATGAACTTGTGCAATTGTCTCTCCATTAACACGTATATCGGGTTTTGTTATAGCAATATCTTCTGTTTTATTTCCCTCTATCTCATGTATTCTTACATCACCACTACTAGGTTACAATATTTTACTATTTTTGTAATATCGTTATTAGAGAAAAAAAAATTTATGCAGGTATTCTGTGAGAGTGTGGTCCGACTCCGGCCGAGCTGAGCTATTCTTGCTACAACCATAACATAGCATGGCTCTACTATGTATGACCAAACTTTGACTTTATTTTTTGAGGAAACTTCGTGTCTAGACGTGGAACTATCTATCTATCGGGTATACTTATCGGGTATACTTGTTTTGTTAAAAAAATCTTTTCATTTTCTTTTAATAGAAAATGAAGAGATTTTTTTTTGATTTGACAATCTGACTCTAGTTTAAACCGCTCTTAATCCTATGTGGATAAATATAAAGTGTTTATATTCTAAAATTTTAAGTCCCTTCTTTTCACTTTGGCCAAACCCATAATGTCCTATTTTTTGTATCTAAAGGCATATTCTGCAACACAATTGTGCCCTCTATAATAATGACGACAAAGCGCGCATAAAAAATTAAAAAGGAGGTCGGTAACGGTTTGATACATAAATCGCCTACAAATTAAAAAAAACTTTCTTGCTCATAGATGTCACAGCCATCATTGTCATTTTGAAAAAAATAATATGTACCTACAAGCGTGATAAAATGGGTACATATACGTTACAT